GTACGTCACAGGCAGAAGATCATTTAACATCACAACAGGCTGCAAACCTGAACGGCTCATTCAGAGAAACTTTCTGATCTGTGCAGAAAGAAAAGAAACAAGAGGACGGTCGTTTCTCATATTTTATGAGTCTCTAAACACACTGAGGACACTTAATTACTGTTTGTTCTGAAACAATGAACACAATGAATCTTGCATAATTCGACCTCTTTAAATATATCTGTGGATATTTGCAGCCTGATTAGAAATTACAAATATACTGTTCATCTACCGTTCTCAGTCGGGCCTTAGCAGCATTAACTAGAGGAGAAAGCTCAAGCAGTTCATCAAAACTGACTGCAAAGATGTGTGAACAGTACAAACTTCAGTGCAGTTACTGCAGCACAAACACACAGTAAAAATAAAAGGATGCACAGTTTTTACACAGTGCAAAAAACCGTCCTTTGCTCGGGACTCAGTGGTTGATGGTCTGTTCTCTAGAGTGACTAAATCAGTGATTTGTTGCTGTACTCAGCTGTCTTCATCCTCCTCAGTCTGGCCCGACAGACTCATCTCCTCCGTTTAATCGTTCTCCATGTAAAACACAAGCAATCCCTTCAGCATATCTGTGTCACTGAGCTCCTCAAAGTTTGGAGCCGAAAGAGTGTCTGCAGTCACGGCTCCGACTGACGTTAACAGTCGCAAAGAGTTGAACTGAAGGCAGACAGTCCTCATTAAAAGTAACTAGCTCGTTAGCGAGACCGGCATGCACCTGTTGGCCAGACAGCGACGTGGGTGTGTTTAATTCTGGACTCTTAGCAAACTCACCAGATGGTGCATTAAATCGATGATTAATTAAGTGAGATGCAAACATTTCTTCACACGCGGAGGTAAAATAATGATAACGTTCTTTCTGTTGCTTCTCTGTGAAGCTGTGTGACCCCCATAATAACATGAAAATACAATAAATCCATCACTGAGGGCCGTTCCACCCCCACTACTGTTTGTTTGATGTGTCCTCCAGCATATATAAATCTACATATAGACATTTCAACAAAAAAAAAACAACTTGATTTTCACAGGACTATATTTACTACCATTGAACAACAAATTCCTATGAATGAAATTATAATTTCCCCGGTATGCATCGCTTTATTTACACTGCACAGAAAGCTAATATGCTATCCTTGCAGGACCAGACAAGACAGAAAATCAATGAAACTCTATGTTGTGTGGGTGTGAATGCGTGAGATGGTAAAACCGGGTTTATAAAAACAGTTCCATGAGGCCCTCTAAACATACTTAGAGCTGGATTACCAGCCAAAAGCTCAGAACAAATCATCTATACTTTGCTCGCATGGTGCAAATCTCCAGATAACGTCATGTTTGATCAAATTACCACAAACTGACAACCAGAAAACAAGAGCCCAGTGTGTGGACATTTGTAAAATGGTATGAATGCACCTAAGATTATTCAAATATCCACACAAGGAGCCTTGATTTTAGCATATCATTACTTCACTATATAATAATATTGCTTTATTTGTATAATACTTTCATGCAACCAATGCAGCTCGAGGTGCTTTAACATAAAACACATACATACCAAGCATCAGGGATATTCAATTTCTCTGCAGATAGAAAACATTTCTGTCTTCCCACTCACTGGGAGCGAGTGAAGAAGCACGTACTCGTAGACAAAACTCAAATTTGCGTAGAGATCATGAGTTCCCTTCGCCACGTATTGGAGTTATGTACTCTAAAGTCTGATCTTTCATTGCATTTTCATTATTTACCCTGTTAAAGCAGTGTGTAAGATCCTTGTTTGCTGTGAATTTCTGTGGAAAATGTCAAAATACGGGTGGCCTTTCCTTTCAGTGACACAGACATGAAATGATGAAGGCAAACACTAAGACAAGAGGAGTGAAGAATTGAAAAGATATTTTATAAAAGGTAAATATGCGTGTCCCTCAAGGTAAATCTGCATTCATTCTGCTCATGCATAGCTCATCCTGTTAGGTCGCCATCTACCTGCTGACCTTTTGGTTCCCTGTACACTGATCCAACATCTGTTCTGCAGCTGCAAGCTTCGACACCTGAAGGTCTTGTGATGAATAACTGAATTGAATTAGTGCATCAGCTGCTTGATTGTTGATCCACTGCTGCTTCTCTTTGAAAGCCGAGCCCTAATTGACAGTGTCAGCGATGTTGTGGTGCATATAATTAGTGATATTTATCATGCTCCCCCTCACATCTAGAAAACAAATACAACCGCAAGTACAGCCCGTCAGCATGTACACATTCCCTGTTGTCAGTGTAAGTTTTTCATAAAATCTGTGGGATGGAATACTCCAGAAAAAAAAAAAAACTAAACTTTTTTTAACAGCTCACAGGTCAAAAAAGAACACACATCTGCAGGGTGAAACCTGCAGATCATCGACTACTGTCAGCTCCTCAGACATCTCACCCGTGGACATAAAACAAAGTGACCTCGGAGAAGTGAAGCGTGTGTTGCTTGTGTGGAGGATAAAGGAGGATCTTGCTTGGCTGCGTCTTCACCACCCACAAAGGGAAGAAAATGTTCTCCTACGCTGCCAAGAGAGCGTTGGAGGAATTTATGGAATCAAGCTCAGGTTATTAAAGTACACACGTAGGTGAACGGTGTGACGGCAGTGCGTTGTGCAGAGCAGCCTTAAAAATATCAGGTGCAGGGTTCAAATCGCAATGTGGGCTGGTACCATACAGCGTGTACTTCATGTGATCCATGGGGAGACAACAATTGCACTTAAAAAAAGACAGGTATTTTAATCCTCAGGTTGAGTATCCACATTATAGCATATAATACATAAATTACAAGCTCACATGATGTTGTTTGCTGTGTTTGATTAGGTGACATTCTTATTATTTGTTTACCACATATTGAAATGCAAAAGAGATCAGGAGGAGACGCAGGAAAGAGGAAAAAAAAAAAAAAGGAAAAACATTGACATCATTTTGCAAAAAAATGTGTAAAGGTGAAGGAGTGTTGACTGTGTGGAACCAACTTTGGGCACACGCCAGTTCTGTTTTTTACATCAATCCTCACTGCTGAACCATTTTCACACATGCTCTGCTGCCCTGAACTCCCCCAGAGATTACCTGGAGGAGCTGTATGAGAGAAAACACAAATGTATCGCAGACAAAATGGCAGTGTTTGACATGCTGGGAATGAGAACCAAGTGATTATATATACTTATGAGCAAAAGTTTACACACACTTGTAAAGAACATGTACATCATGACAGTCTTGAGTTTCCAATGATTCCTCGATCCATCCATTATCGCTACACTACCTTATCCCGGGTAGGGTTGTGGAGCCTACCCCAGCTGACTTAAGGCAGGGTACCCCCTGGACAGGTCAAATGTCCATCACAGGGTCACACAGAGAAAGATAGAAACCAGCACAAACTCACACCGACGGCAAAAAGCTTCAACTGAGGGATGACTTTCAATGGATAGCGAGGGAGCTGCTCTGACACGACACCCTGACCTAGAATCAGGTCATCTGCAAGTGATTTATGCATGCAGCTGAGGGGCAACCATCAGAACCAGCTCTCTGGGACCAACCAAAGATCCACAGCTCCATGGTATCGTCACGTCTAGGCGGGATTCTGACTTAAGAGGTGTTCCGTCATAATCCCACAGATGGCAGCTTCGCACCATTGGCTCCTCAGCCAAGCACATACACCAAACCAGGATTACGACTGCAACAACACATCATCAGTGGGGTAAAACTAACCTAACGGACTAGACCCAACTCACGTTCCCTGTTAGTCAGTGGATGATCCAATGCTTGGTGAATTCTGCTTCACAATGATAGGAAGAGCTGACATTGAAGGATGAAAAAGGACATGGCTACGAACGCTTGGCCGCCAGAAGCCAGTTATCACAGTGGGAACTTTTCTTACACGCCTTCACTGTCTGCATTCATACTAAAAATCAAGACCAAGCGTGTTTTACCCTTCTGCTCTACGGGAGGTTTCCGTCCTCCCTGAGCTCGCCTTAGGACACCTGCGTTACCGTTTCACAAGTGTACCGCCCAAGTCAAACTCCCTACCTGCCACAGTCCCCGGAGTGGGTGGCTTGACACCAGAAGACACCAGGGGCTCGCTTCCCTGCCTCACATCACCTAAACTGGTTGTTTGGTGCTGGTCCAACTGGATGTCGAGTAGGTGTTGAGTTGGAGAAGGAGCAGCACAGGAACCAATCTAACACAGGCAATTTGCTTACAATCTCTGCTCTGTTTATCCTGCTTGTACTAATTCCAACCTTGTTTGTACCTTCAGTCCTGGACCCTCCTCGCCACCTGGTTTTATCAACAATATCTGTGACTCCTTACCTGCATGTACCATCCAGTTCTTCAGTCAAAGTCCTGCACGGTTCATCTCACCACACCTCCTAGGATCTCTGGAAAAAGGAATTCCTCTGACACGACTCCATTGCTGCATCTGCCCCACTGCCACATCCACCCCGTCCACCTTCCCCTTCTCCCTTCTGCACTGGATTCAATGCTAAGTTCCCCTGATCTCTGTCGGGCCCTCGTCTGTTTGCTGTATGTTTTCTAGTCATCCTGGTCTCCGTGTAATTCCCTAGCTCAGTCTTCCTAGCATGTGTTATGTATTATCTCATTCCTAACTGAATTTAGTACTCAGTCTGGGTTTGTTAGTTCCTGTTCCGCTAATATTATCTCAGTAAATGTTTGTTGATATTTTCCGTAGTGTTCCCCGCCAGTCCTAGAGTTGGCGCTGTAGCCTTTTGTTCCCTGCAGAAATTTTTTCCCGCTCACCCAGTAGTTGTTTATTGTTTACTCCGCTGAACTTCCTGTTGACCTTCGAACCTGAACTACTTCCTGTGATTAATTATATTTTTGTAAATAAACCTTTTGTGCTTGTAAAATGCTTGATCATTTGTCTGCGCCTGAGTCTCTAAGCCTGATCCGTGACACTTTGGTTTCCTGGACCTCATTTACCACCACTTCACTCATCACTGCTCATCACGTTTTTATTGTGATAAGGCACCAACATTAAAACAAGTGTTCAGGATTACAGAGACTTGGGTAAACTGATGCAGAGAACACACCAAGTACAACAACTAAGTCATAAATACATACATTAGGAATTGAGAGTTGAAATTCCTACTTGATTGAAATTTAAAATGACCAAATTGTTGAAATAGTTGAAATTAGTGCGTTCAGAGAGCTTGAATATACTAAGAACACATAAAGAACTTCAGGACCAAAAGCAGCAGCAGCATCGCACCAAAGGCAGCCATCAGCACCCAGAGAGCATCACGACTCCTCCTGCAAGTCAAAGGAGAAACAAGAATATAGCACACTTTACCTAATTAGGAAGAAAACAAGTTCTACTGACAAAAAGTTTAGGCAAAACCAGACTCTCTTTAAGCGGATCCCGTGGTGTTGTGTGCAGTGAACAGTTCATTTACTCATCCAGAGTTTTTGTCACATAATTCTCTCCTTTTGCTCTGATTTTGGTCCCAACCAAGTAGTTGCAAAAAATAATTTAGCTAATAAATGCATCACTCTGTTGAGTGTCTCGTCTCTGAATGTGTCTCTCAGCTGTTTGGTAATGTTCAGAGGCTACTTTAGAACATTTTGTTAGGAAACTGTGGCCTGCTGTGGTTGAAAACGACACTAAATTACAGCTGCTTGATTGTTGTTACACATCTGCTCTGACACAAAAAGAAACCTCTCTTAATTCATGTGAATACGAGAATGAAAATATGAATTACTGTAAATTTCTAAGTGTTGTTATTCATCGTCCCAGTGAGGATGTCTTATCACAGACAGTCTCAGATCATGTGCAGATCTGTTCAATAACATGAAGTCAATAAGAAAGGGCGTCTTTAATCTGGTTAAAAATGTCTTAAAATCTAATTTAGAGAAAATGGTGTGAAGTTGCCCCATGAATGGTCTGCCAAAGACCGTCTGTGGTTGAGGAATTAGATCACATATCCACATAATATATATGTGTAGTCGTCCTCAGATGTATTTATACCCTCCCATTAAAGAAGAAAAAAAACAAAACAACGGTCACTGAAATAAGTTGAAATTGACAAAAGTAATTAAAAAATATATATATATATTGAAAATCATGACATTGCTTTTGAATTGTGGTTCAGCAGAAGTATTTAAAAAATAAAATTTAAAAAAAACATAAACTAATATTTTGTTGAACAACCCTTTGAGCCAATCACTGCCATCAAGTGTTTTCTGTGACTCTCAGTCAGACGTCTGCACCTGTTGACAGGTGTTTAGATTTCACTGCTCATCAGCAAAGTGCTCTAATTTGTATGGGACAGTTTTTTGTTTTTTTTAATTATTCTTTTCAACCACAACTCCAAAGCAATGTCTTATTTCACTAAATTATTATTTAGTAATTTTTTTTTATTTATTATTACTTTTTTCAGTTTCTAGTTATTTGAGTGACTTTTGTGAATTTTGCCTTTTCTTTAATGGAAGGATATGAATACATTTGAGGACGACTGTATAGCGCCTAAATTACTCTCTACTTGTCTTCTTCATGAACTTCCAGAACTGACTACGAGCTCCACACAATCCCAGATACGCTCACTGATATGTGCACTATGACACAAAGCAGGAGCACTTTTGGAGCATGTGTCCATGGCAATAAATATATTAGCATTAGCAAGCAGGCTCGCTTGCTTCTCTCTGTCAGTTCGGTGTCAGAGTGCAGGAAGCTCCGGCTGTGTGCTGGACTGAGGTCAGTACATCTGAGAGCTGCGCTGAGCTCTGGTCTGATAACACGAGAGTCTGTTTGAGAGACAAACTTCGACAGAGAGCGGAGAAAGAAAACTGTGAGGCCACGAATGCTCCGTAGCTTCAAACATGTAACTCGGTTACTCTCAGAGCCGTGAGGGGGTGAAGCTGAATAACAGAACGACTTACGAAGTAAAGAAAACGATAAATACATTTAGATGGTGTGATGAATGCAAATGTAACACAGTTAAAATAGTCAAGTAGGAGGATCCGATGCATTAAAGCTGCTCCAAATAATCATACTTGAGGTACGTTTCTCCAATTCTTGCGCCATTCCTACCGACATACTGCTAATTTGATTTAATGATTCAGTTAAATATTAATGCCATAATGTATGATCAGCTACATCACCACTAATGCACCCAGCCACACTCACCACTGCGACCTCTATAAACCGGTGAGGTGTCCCTCCCTTCATACTCGGCGGCTTCATTTCATTTACAAATCAATTCTGGCCAAGACACCTCCCTACCTGTCCTCTCTTCTTCAAGTCGCCCATAATTATTATCATACTAGGTCTAGTGAATACATCCAGCTCATCATCCCCAATACCTCGACTATTTTTAGCCGTAACTCCTTTGCAGCAGCTAACGACTGGGACACCTGACAAAATACCCTCAAACTTGTAACTCTGACTCCACAATCCAACAGACTGTAGTTGACTGTTGCTCCTGTTGATCACACCAGATTTTACTTACATACTTGTATATATACACATACATTCTTCCACCTCATGCACATCGTTTTTCACTCACATGCATGTGCTCCCATGCTTCTTACGTGTTTAATTTTGTTCTATGTTGTGTTTATGTGTCTGTTTGTGTCTGTAATTGACATGTGTATTTGTTCCTGCTGGCGCCTCTTGGTCAGCTCATGTTTACAAATCAGAACTGGTTCTCAAACAGTTTTACCTGATTAAAAAAAAAAGGTCCAATAAAAATAAAATAAACATTATGGACGCTTGTTTGTTCATATTTCTGCTGCAGAGCTTGAACGTTGCGTAAAAAATCTATTAAAAAAATCAGGTCAATGCAGCTATAAAGTCCTTTTTTTCTTTTCTTTCTCCATTAAAACAACACGGTGACTGCGATGGTAGAATGAAGCATCAGATCTTTTACAATTTTGGAGGAAAATGGAGCGATAAAGGTCGAGAAACACAAATAGAGGAATGAACTAATCACTGGTTTGATGTCGGTGACCTGCAGATTCACACATCGCAGCTCTCGATAAGTAAAACATTCCTCCTCTTCAAAAATATATCTCAGAAGATGATTTATCAGTTTGACCTGCGTTAATAAGAAGCGCTTTACAGTCCGCAACTGTATTCATATTAGCCCAGACAGTAAACAGCATTTCAACAAACAAGTGAGTGAATCATCTGAGTTTTTGCTCTTCAGCGGAGAAACACTGTCGCTGCAGCAACGTCAGGTGAGAAAGAGCGGTTCTGTTCAGACACTGAGAGTTTGGTACCATTGACTGGATTTACTGAAGAGAGTCTACCAACATTAGTCTCTGCAAAGATGAGAATAACAGCTGTAACCATGGTAACCATACACAAAGATGACAATAGCTGTTGTCTCAAGATGCTTTGGTGTTAAATTAATCGTAGCAACTGGACTTGCTTGAGTTCCTTGAAGACGTTCCACCTCTCATCCAAGAGGCTTCATCAGTTCTGACTGACTAGTTGGGAGTCCCACATATCCTTAAGGAGCCATTAACACCTGAGTTTCAGTTTCAATTGGGGGTTTGTTGCTCCTCCCCCTCGTTATGTGAGCCGTCAGTGCTCCACCTGCCACAGTGGGGTTCGTTAGGGTCTTTTGTGACTCGGTGTGAAAGTGGTCACATACACTCTCCTCTTGGATGGTGAAACGTCTTCAAGGAACTCAAGCGAGTCCAGTTGTTATGATTAATCTACCAGAATAACCTGGATGGCTGAGAATCCTCACAGACATCTTAGGTATTAAAGTTCTCAAAATAAACAACTTTTTTGAAATTAAAAATGTCACCGGTTGATTCACCACTCGCACTTTACTTGTTTGTGGCTTTTGGTGGGATTTGTATGACACTAAAAACTCAAAAACTCCAACTAAAGGTCACCAAGTGTCTCTGTGACTGGAACACAAGCATCACCGACAGCAGAGCACTGATAAGGAGAATAAGAACTGTGAATGGTTGCTAATATACATATATATAGATGAAATGTCCCTGTTTACCTGGGCGCTGCTGCTTCAACCACACCAGCCGGTGGGATCTGAAAATAAATAAATGAATGTAGTTAGAATTGTGACACAGATTTGGTTGCGAGGCCTCCACAAGCTGGGAGGAAGTAAATGCATGAATGATTCTGATGTCTACTTACAGGGAACATCCGATATGTCTGGTCATCGTACACGATAACGGCGTTGACCCCCGCACGATCACTTTGGCACTGAACCTAAGATGGGATGAACAAACACAGATTTCTACACATCGTCTGTGTCAGAGATGTGACATGTATGTAACCGTGTCAAGAAACTGAGACAAAAGATAATAAAATATATTTGATGGAACACAAATGATGACGGTCAGAATAAACCAGTTTACTCACTGGACGACTCAGCTGAGCCTGAAAGAGAAAGAAGAGAAAATTTGTCAGATTAATGTGCTCATATTACATCTAAACTTATACTGTGAACAGTATAGTGAACGATTCCTGAGATTGTAATGGAAACCCAAAACTTTACATTGATGTGAACTGTTACATGTTTTCATTTGGGATCATTTAGAATTAGAATATAAAGGGACAGCATCATAGGATATTTTCACATGGGGCCATAATATTTTGAAGTGTTGTAGAAAAGAGACATGGAGTACACGTCTCATTTGACTAAGTTAGCAAAGTGAGGAGTTAAATTTAGCTTTGACAACAAAATGAATTTATCCTCAGATGGGAAATGCAGTCTATAATCCTACATACTTCAGTATTTTGCATGTACAGCAGGTTGTGACGCATGTAAAAAAATGCAACAATGAAAGTGAAACTAGAAGTTGGATAAAAAGTCTTAAAATGCAGTTATTTGTACAGTTACAGTGTCATTAGATTCTGTAACTATTAACTGTAAGACAGTTTTCTTGGTTTTTTTTGTCCTAAAATGTAGGTTACATCGACTTGTAATGGTCGCCTTCCTAAAATGGAACGCGACCAAATGGCATGGCGCTACGGTAAAACAGGCCGCGCAAGAATAACATTCCATATAAAGATCACAAACCTACAGTAGCAGTGGAAAACCCTGTGCAGTCAGTTCGAGAACTGCATTTTTACGTTCATACCTGTTCATATGTGAGAACAATGCATGTGGAATGTGGTTTTAAAAGCTCGCTGCCTTCGAGGCTCGTTGGCCGACTCATCCATATGCACAAACAGTTGCTAATAAACACCAGTTAACATTGATATTTTAAATGTGATCAAATAATAATAATAATAACAAAATTAACATAAAATTTTTCTTACCATTTCTGGTTTTCAGTAGTTTTTAGTCCAGACCTGATTTTGGCTTTACTTAGGCTAGGTTAGCTTAGCTTAGCTTCCTTACTTCCTCAGTTCTCGCCTGCCTAAACGCTATGACGTGATTGTTTGCGGACAAATTACAAGATAGGCCAACCTCCCTCTTTGTCATGGCTTCATTTTCTGCTCTTTTTTTTCTTTCTTTTATTTATTTTTTTACAGTACATTAGAATTTTATGTTTTCTTAATTAATTGACACCTTACAAAATTATAGATTATCACGATAATGTTAAAAGTTTTACATTTTCTTTTTTTTTTTTTAAATGACTTAAGTTTACCGATGAATATATTACCAGCTCACCTCGGAAGTTGATTCTGTTTTCTTGTTCCCAGGTTGTTTTTGATGATGATCTGGGAATCCAAACCTCCATGAATCCCTGCGGTTTTTATCTCCACATCTTCACCCTTATGTTGTAACAAGGGGGCTGATTAACATCAGCTGACCAAAAACTGTTTTCCCGCTTCTTTCACACGGGGTGGAACAACATACCCATGTATGAATACCACTAGTGGCCCCTATTTTCTAATTAAAACACATCTTTTCTTCCACGTCAGCCAGTGTGGTTTTCACTGCAGTTCTATCAGTTCACTCAGTCCTTAGAAGCATTGTTACATTCCACATGACTTCACCGAAGAACTGAATTTGCCAACTTGAACTGGACACAGATCTGTAGGGAGGCTCCAGTCGTCCATTCATCTGGTTCCATCAGAAAAAGAAGAAAACAGTGGAGGAAAGATGAGAAAACGGGTGTGTTAAGTTGTAATCTATACACTTAAGATCCTTCAGCTGTTTTTTTTTATTGATCTATTGAGACATAAACATCTTTTAAGATACCAAATGGTCACCAGAAGAATGATTCTTGATGCCACTTTGGATAGATTCCACGACAGGTGACAGTTTAAACCTACAGTAGTTAATCGTATAGTGGAGTGTGTGAACCTGTATTCAAGCGACTTAAAGTGTCGGAGGAAATGTTTGAAATTAGTTTTGCCTCATTGTCACACGGGATCGTTCACTTTACAGCTAAACAACGAGAGACGAAATTGAACCAAAGTTGTGTCAATTAAATTCAAACTCTAAGTACCAATGATGTGTTTTCTTAAAGTTCCCTAAATGTTTTAGCATAATTTCATTCTTAAACGACTATACATTCGGTAAAAAGTCCTTGACAATTTGATTTGTTTTTATCGTAATATGAAGAATTAAAGGGATTTACCTTACAGAGCAATTCCATCGATACCTGTGAGCATCGGCAAACGTCTTCGGCTGAGACTCTGGCATTACTGGATTGCAAAGCGCTGGCATGCAGTTTTTCAACATGTCACACCACAAAGGTGGCATCTTGATGATGAAATACCTAAGTCAGGTTCTACTGCTTCTGCAAGCGGAACAGAACATAATCACCATCATCTCAAGTGTCAAAGCAGTCGGACAAGTTTGGTACATTACGTAGCTCTCTGGAGTTTTTGTGTTTTTACGGAGTTAAAAAGTCACCGACGAATGTCAGGAACTGTAAACATGCAGTAAAAAGAAGGGTATGTGGATGTAGGGTCAGATAAAGAAAGTTCTGATCGCTGACGTGCATCACCTTCTCATTAGTCATGACCCTCCCAGTGTTTTTGGAATGACCACGTTTATAAATAAACACATTGTCCTTCATTATCATATTATTAGTCATGTGTTACCAGCCCAGAAACACACAACAAAAGACCTGGAATCACATCAGTTACAATGAAAACACCTCAAACAAGAAGCTTTTCTCCACGATAGTCCTAAAGCTCCACTGGTCTGCACTCCCTAAAGGTTACAAATACGAAACATCAAATGATTTAGTCGTGTTTTGCCCTGAAATTAGTTTTCCATCTATTACTTTGGGTTATTCTGCTTCACTTTCACCTTTTCAGTGCCAATCATCTTTTACATTCCATTCAGTGGCGTAACAATTTGGCTGAAACTGTGGTCACACCTCATTCCACATGTGATCTGCTTTTGTCACATCACATTCATACACCTGTAATGATGTTTTTATAAGTTTATCAGCAGTTTATCAAATGATAATGTGAAAACCAAACCTAGAGATCATGTACGATGGGATAACACCAGCTGGGATGTCCATCAGCAGGCCGGTGTTCTCTCAGTAGTCATTAGTACATGAACACTCAGTCCAAAACACCCATCCTGAAAGTAAGCCGTCATCTTAACCACACACACGTAAAGCTTCATGACTGCCTCCTGCACAGCTGTGAAGTATAAAGTCAGACATGTAAACACCTCTCAGAGGGCTCAAAGCCTCCTTTTGTGGTAGTTCGGTAGTCGACAAGGCTGACATTGATCAACCAACAGAAAGTAAGCACTTGAACCTGGAGAAGAATCCTTTGCAGAGCTTTATAGAGAGTTTCAGCTTGTTGTTTAGCCGTCTAACCCTCAACTCTCCTGCTTAGTTCTGCTCTCATATTATTTGGCTGCTTTTAGAGCAAATTCTCTGAAATTCAACGAAAGTAGTCGATTTATTCATGTGCATATGGATTTTAAAGCACATCGAAGAAGCTTTTGCAGAACATGTCAGACCTGCACCTCATACTGCAGCAGTAAAGGAAAACAGTTCATACAAGGAGTGGGAGGAGCTTCTGGCAATTCTAATGGCTCTGCTTCAGGAAGTGTTTTGAATAAGTGTCAAAGAGGTGATGATGAATTCCTCAGCCATCCTCACCGCTCTCTGAAGGGACTTTTATCATTTTATTTTGCTAATATTATGGTCTGCCTCTCTGAGAGTTCTGCTCATTACCGCCCTGTAATGTAATGTGATTTTACAACATGTGTTCCTCACTGCTTTGAATCGCCTGTCAGCCACGTCTCCTGCAGAGGGATTGTACAGAGAAATATCTGATGCAATGTATGCAATGTGCAAGCAAAAGGTATACGCAGTTACATTTTGGAGTGTTATATTATTTTATAATGCTGAAATGAAGCAATAAAAGCAGGAAATATAAGTTGTACTGTAAATAAAAACCACATTAACATGAAAATGCAATAAGATAAATATATATCATAACAAATGATTGAATCAAGAGCAAAATGAAGAAGATATAATATTAATGCGCGCTGTGCAAGTCCTCACGAAACGCTCAGAAGACTGTTGTGCAACTGCTAACAGGTTTATTTATGAAAAGACAGGGTGAAGAGAAAATCAGATAATCATAAAATATGTATAGTCACTCTCAAATGTATTCATACCCTCCCATTAAAGAAGGAAGAAAAAAAAAAACAGCTGTCACCGAAATAAGTTGAAATTGACAAAAGTAATAATAAATAAACATTAAATGAAAATCAGGACATTGCTTTGAATTGTGGTTCAACAGAAATATAAAAAAAAAAAAAAAAAACAGATATTCTGATTTTGGCCCACTGCTCATCAGCAAAGTGCTCTAATTTATCCAGGACAGTTTTTTTAAATTTATTTTTTATTTGATTTTATTATTTTCAATCACAATTCAATAGCAATGTCTTTAATTTTGCAAATTTGTATTTATTATTACTTTTTTCAGTTTAAGTTATTTGAGTAACTATTGTGAATTTTGCCTTTTCTTTAATGGAAGGGTCTGAATACATTTGAGGACGACTTTATAAGATGTGGCAAAAAAAAAAAATCTGCTACAACAGAGAACATGTATTTTGAGCATATGCTTAAAAAAAAGATAAATCGTGTGACATATTATTATACAATTACACTTAACAACAATATAACTGCAGCATGTAAATGGTTTTACTTTCTGAGATAGAAGTCTCAGTTCTATTGTTGTGGCTAAATTCAGCCGACTGTGTACAAAAAGCTTTTGAGCTGTTCGACTGAGGTGAGCTGATTCGTCCCGTTTTGTAATGATCTGCTGTTTTTGCTGAGAACCCTCTATGAGCGAGCAGACGTGCCCTCAGTACAGAGTCTCTTCTTCATGGCCTCTCACAGTTTGGGATGGATCAGCCCTCACCTTTGACACCACATGAGGGGGTTGGACCTCCAGTACAGGATCTGGCGCTGTGTGCTGGTTCACAGGCCCAAAGACCTGCACATTTAAGGCTCTCCTGGGTGATCTGCTTTCCTGTGGCCCAGAGCTGCTGCCTCTGAGAAAAAAAACATGTCAGCAGATTTTGTGGGATTTACATGATGTTTGTGTGCAACTGCAAATGTCCTCAGTCTCTCTGAGGTTTAAAGCAGCTTGTTGGAAGTTTGTCCGTCAGAAAAAAATCCCCCTAATGAAGCAGCGACATGACAGAGAAACTGAAAGAAAGATTTGGGCTGTAATTAATGTAATTATTATTAATGACATTGTAATGGGTGGGTTCAATGTGTAGTGGTTGGATCACTTTTCTAACAACAAACAGCACGACGGATAACTTTAGCACCGCACAGCTACGATCCAACTCCTTAACAAAAACATCACAACTTCCTCATTCTGGGCTGTCATGTGACCACCACAACCAATCAGAACTGTGACAAGCACAGCCAGCTTCTTCTTTTTTTTAAAAACAACTTTATTTAACAAGTGGACATGTACAAACAGCATGGCGGAGGATCAAATAACAATAACAAAGGTGCATCTTAAAGAATTGTATAAGAAATGAAAAAAGCAAGAAGAATTACAAATGTACAAACAAAAAAGAAAAAGAACTC